AAATCTGATCAAGAACTTACTGGTCAATCCAAAAAGGATGAAACTCGAAAAACGGATGGATGGAAGGGGATTCGGCTTATTCGACAGTTCCAACACTGTGTTGCCACGCTGCAAGGTGAGGGTAGTGGGGAGACTAGGCCTAGATGATTGAAAAGTCTGGGATGGATTTGACAGGGAGCCAGTTAGGTCAAAGAGAGCATCGTCGAAGAACCGGACAGAAATGGTTTCAGCTATACGGAAGAGAGCGATATGAGTACATGGTGACTCGGTGGGCATCACATTCGGGCGAGACCGGTTACTACCGCAATCAGGGACAATTCTCAGGATGTCGAATACTTGTGAAGGCAAACTAGTAATAAAAACTGTTAGGCGGGTATACATTATCAAATCGGGTAGCATGGCAGCTAGGTACCGAAAGGGTGATACAGCACCTTCAAAGCGCAAAATCATGCTTCAGAACGTACCGTCTGCGAACGTATCTCTTACAATTTAAGGAGAATCACTAGAGATTGTGGAAAACTTTACATAACTCGGTAGTTGTATTGGGTCTGACGGAAATGTGTCTGATGAAGTCAGTGCAAGAATCTCAAAGGCTCGAATCCAGTTAGCTAATTTGCGTGACTTGTGACGTCAAAGAGGCATCTCACTGGATCTTAAGGGTCGCGTGTATCAGGCTACAGTAAGGGCTGCGTTGTTGTATGGGTACGAGACATGGCCTCCGCGAACAGACGACGTGAGGCGTCTTCAGGTTTTCGACCACCGATGCCTCAGAAGCGTGGTTGGTTGTGGATGTCGTCAACGTGTCAGTAACGAGGCGGTTAGAAAGCGGGTATTTGGTTGTGCTGCAGGCACCTCAATCGGGGAAAACATCCGCCGTCATCGACTGCGATGGCTCATTCATGTGCTACGCAGGCCGAAACACCGCCTACCGAGATGAGTGTTGTTCTCCGTGCCCCCTTCAGGATGGCGCAAACCGCGAGGTGGACAGTACATGACTTGATAGAAGGGCGTCAAACATATCCCGAAAAGTTTGAGTGTTGTTGGTGTTGTGCGACTTCAATGATGGGGTCATCGTGCCCCGTCTGTGTGTGGCTGGAGACGTTGCAAGAAATGGCGGCTAATCGATGTCAGTGGCGTTCGTGCTGTCAGTTTCTTTCCAGATTGTCTGATTGAGCG